GCTATAACGTGCATACATTCAATTTGTTAGCAGGCTAGCATTGAAAACTTTGTTTTCTCCCCGATGTCTACACCAGCTACAAGGCCAGACACTGCATGGCTTGAGGGAACAGTTGGGACCCCATCTCCCACAGGTTAGTGCAGAAAGCAAAGGAAACCAGTCAGTTTTGGCGATAACGTTACCTAACACAACTTACGGCTAGTGGTGGACAGATGAAGCTCATCAGCTCTCCTCGTCCACTCCCACGTGCCGCCTCTACCTGGACTGCTGTCACTGCTACAATGATGGTCCTATTACAGCGGTACCAAGTAAGTTTATACAAACACAATCAACTTATTTGTATGGTGATCATTTTAAGTCTAGAGACTGGTTGGAATTTACTACTAAGGTAGATGCGAAGGCACATTGTTCTGCCTGGGGTGAGTGATTTTTCACTGCATTCAAACTTCACATGTGAAAAAAGTTCTTCTTACTGAACATCATCAAGCCACGTTTCACTCATGGGAGGCCCAGTTAATGCAGCTGGTCTTCGAGAGAGAACTTACCAGAAGCACATGACTGGACAGATGTTATCTTCACGCAGCTCAACACAGACACTTGCAGCATTCAGCTATTTTAATGATGAGTGAAGCTTTTTTTTAACCCTTGAAATTATTATATTTTTGACTGCTGAGGATTAATTTATACATTGCTCACATCCGCATCTGTCTGCTTCCCTGTGTTTAGTCACACTGTCGCTGTCCTTGGTGCTGAACCGTGGATGTAACAAGGTGGTGGTGTGTTTGGAATGCACAGGCAATGTGTGTTTTATTTCTATGGTGTGTTGATGCTCGATTTCATTGTATATTCATGAAAGTCTGAATGCCTGGCGGGTCTGTCCTTTCTTCTGGTTCAACAGCCTCAGAGACTATCTATACACCTTGTTGTTCATGCAGTTGTTTTATGTGCGTTCCCTATTTGGAAATCTAAATAGAAATCAGATTTGTTCGGGTACCAACACTGCACTGTATGTAGGGATGTTAGGTTGTTGGCCTTGATTCAGCATGGACAGGCTTAAATGAAACCTGGGAGAACAGGCAGTTGATCCATTGCAAGCCAGTGATAACAAAGACAAATAGTAAGCAATGACACGGGACTACTGCTCAATGATCAGTGGGTGTCGGAGATACTCTCTAGGTGAGAAAAGGGGGCCGACAGAAATCCTTTCAATCAACTGTGCAATCAAGTGATAACGATTAAATCACTTTCTGCTGGATGCCTTTAACTGTATGATAGGTTCATGCAGTCATATGTACAAGAGCGAATACTGGTACAATTGTTCTTCCCTTGTGAGCAGATTAATATACTCAGAAAAAATCAGTTGCGCAGATGGATATTGTAAATTCCAGATAGAAACTTTTTTTCTATTAGACAATTATAGACAAATTTCCAAAGCCCCAGATTATGTACAATTCCAACATATATTCTGAAAAAATATATATGTGCATTGCATCTAGAGTATTGGGTTGAGATTAAGTGCATGGTCATGGTTAACAAAAAGCCAGCATTAAAGATTTTACACTGTTTACAGGTCTTGGGGACCACTACTGCGAATGTGAAAAAAGTAGTATGAACCCTTTTGTCAGTCCAGGGGGTGCTGCGTGAAATTGAATAAATTGCCTCAAGTGATGTCATTGTACTGCTCCTTAAGGCTAGCAGCTTGAGGCTGCATTAGCTGCTACTAGCACAAGATACCTGAATCTTTGCCTAAACCTTTGGCGGTATGCAGGCACCAGGTTTTGACAAGGATGAATAATTCATGAACACAAAATCTCTGATTCTGCTCTATCGGTTATGATCCCTTTTTATAACTACCCCTCCTGACTCAGACGTTACAAAAGTGCAATGCTAAATTGGTGAACTCTTTTAATTGTTAGTCTGATATGGCACGTGAATACCAGCTTAATAGTTGGTTGTGCTTCATGCCCATCAGCCACCTGAGTTCCACACTGTTACTTTTACAGAATCATGCAGTATAGGCACAATTCCATAGAAAACGTGCTTTATCTTTGAACCAACTAAATCACAGCTGCAGAGGCAGCTGCACAAATCATTCATTAAGTTTGCAAAACGTCCTCAAAAATCATGATGTATGTTAAACACAGGAAAGCTGCTTTGGCAAAGAGGAGCAGAGGCCAAAAGTAAACCATTGCCAAAATTAACTGAAAGGCACTCAATGGGATATTTGCATAACAATACTGCAAAATGCAGTCTTAACACAATTGGCAGAGTTGAATCAACCTCTTCTCCTCTGACATAATTTAAAATAAATGATCATTATAAGCTTCACAAACACAGTATTTATTCCAGGTTTGATGAATTAAATTATAATGGTACTCTTTTTATCGCAAGAGCATGTATGACTAGACATAAGTCAGCCTAACATATAGCATGATAGCAAGCACATCTGCTTAAACAAATAGGTTCAGGTTTAAAATCTGAGAAAAGAGTTGTTTATGGTCACATAAACATAAACATACTGATTACACGGCACTGCAATGTATGCATTTTTAAAGTTGGTGCTATTGCCTGAAGGCAAATACTAAGGCAAGTGTTATGAGAGGTGTTTACAGAGGCTGCCGTAAAAACAGCAACATGGAGAGCTTACTGGAATATTTTAATGGATATGTAAAAAAAAAATAAAATAAAATAAAACAAAATGCATAAAATGCCCACAAAAAAGCACACAGTTCACTGTGCAGAGTAGAGTGCAATAGTGGAAGATGCTGTCTTTTCTGTTTTTTAATTTATGAACCATATCTTGGTAGAGCCTAAAATAATCATTATTGCATTTCATTCTCATCTTGGTGGGATTAAAAATGCTGTCTTAAATCTGGATTCATAATTTTAAGAGTGATATGATTTTGTATTATATGTAACGCTGCTGGCTCCCAAATGTGCTTCTTTTCACTGAGAGGTCACCAAAATTTTGAAGTTTTAAAAAAAATGTTAGCATTCAGACTTCATTAAGGAGACAGTGGTGACATCTGGACATGGCCTTTTAACAAAGATGGTAGTTGCTTTACATTTCCCACAAGCAGCAGTTCTTTTTTCTCCTGTACCCCAGCACTGTTTAGCCTTTAATCTTAAACTGAGCCATTTGTAACTATAGTTTATGATGTTGGCATTAGAATTCATTCACACAATAGTTTAGTAGACTTGTCTTAATAAATGCTCACCATTTCACAATGGTCATGCATTCACCATCAAACCCAAGAATTGGATTGCATTAAATGATGGCAGAAAAACAACTCACAAAGCAAGCTGTTAATCCCCCAGATGGTACAATACTGCATGCATGCCTGAAGCTGGCGATGACATACTATAAGAAGGAACCTCTAAGAAGCGCTGCAGAGTCCCTGAAATAGCAGCAGACCTATCCGCTTTACCCTTCCTCTCAGTGGGGTCAAGTTGGAAAACGTCGTATTTTACTTGAAATTTGTTCAGAAACTCAGATCCAGATTAGAACTATAACTCTTGTGTCTGTCAATCAAAAATGACCAAACAGTGCAAAAAACAGAGCATGTTTGGCAATGTTAGGCTGTTGGTCTTCAATCAGCCTGGACTGGTTTAAATGAAACCAGGAAGACCAGGTAGTTGATTCAGTGCAGGGTAGTGATAACAAAGACAAATAGCAAGCCATGGCACCACTGGAGTCACAGACTACCGTCCAATGATCAGTGGCCATTTGAGATACTCTTTAGGAGAGACATGGGGACTGACCAAAATCCTTTCAATCAACTGTGCAATCAAGTGATAGCGATTAAATCACTTTCTCTGGGACGTTATCATTGTGTGACTGGTTCATCCATCTTTTGCTCATTTGAATATATGTTGGTGGTTTTGTGGGCCCCCAAACGCGTGTGTGGCTTTGCTCCAAGCCTCTCAAGCTGGTTTTATGGCTCTCTGGGAAACAAAGGAAGGCATTTTCTCACTGCAAACTGGTTTCAAAACAACATGATCGCCCTGAAGCCCTAAGCTTACAAGCACAACCTACATTTTATGGTTACAATTTTAAACGTTAAAAAGGCAAAAGAGATGAGATGCTGCTTATCCTGCACATATCTCTGGTTAATTTTCATTGCTACAGATTTTTTTCTTTTTATCATTTGTCATGATCAAATGATAAAATCATTGCAGAACAAGAAAAATAGGGAAAAGTGAAGTAATTTTTTGTGTTATTCTAATATTGCCTGTATATACTCTTTTCTTTTAAAAAATGTTTAATTTTTAAATTAGTTTTATTAACAAATTAGACATGACAGTGGAGTGTTATTAATCATTTTACAATAATTAAACATCTCATTATGCAATACATGTTAAACCACAAAATAATAATACTGTAATTATTAAAAAAACATCATGGCAAAGAACTATGGAGGACTGATCCTGACAGATTAAGAAATAAATACTTAAATTAATAAATGCTCAATAAATAAATAAGCATCCGCTTAAATGCACAAAAAATTAATGCAGGCAGTAATTAAATTATACAATGATATACAAAGGTATATATATCTTTTAATTATCTTCTTTATTTATTCATCTTTGTATTCATTTATTTACCTTATTATTTATTGTCCGTTATAATCTTCAACTTTATTTATTAATTACTTCTTTTTTAAATGTATTTATTTACATGTGCGTTTTAATATTTTTGTCTGTTTTATTCTTACTTTGCATTTTCTACCAATACCATTTCCCCAATGGTATTATATTTCTGCCTGTCCTTTTTACATTTCTCTGTGCATTTCTGCGTCATTATGCAAATAAGGAGGAGCTGTGTCTGTGCAACGGAATAATAAAACAGACAACAATAATAAAACACACACATAAATAAATAAATTTAAAAAGAAGTAATTAATAAAACAAAGTTGAAGATGATAACGGACAATAAATAAATATGGTAATTATTATAAAGTTAATTAAAAAAAGATAATTAAAAGAAAAAATATATTGTATAATTTAATTATTGCATAAATGTATTTATTAACTTTATTTTTTGTGCATTTAATCATGCTTATTTATATATTGAGCATTTATTTATTTCTGTTTTTATTTCTCAATCTGTCAGGATCAGTCCTCTATAAGGAACATCCCTCAACTGGTTAAAAAATCACTTTATATTTAGTATGCACATTCTCAATCATTTTATAGTAATTTTGAAATAACATATTAAGTAATGCCACAATTTACTACTAATAGGATTTAATATGATATAATACAGTGAAAATTTATCTAATTGATTTTCACTTTCTAAGATTGTTCTGAAATATGCAGTATGTGGCCAAAAAAAAGAAAAGAAAAAAAAAATGGGTAGACAGAACAAACTAGCAAAAACTGTACTTGTTCATTCAGTCTAAATCAAAACCATACCGGTGCAATATGCACCTGTTATACTAAGGATGTATTATGCCTGGTTGCTGAAAGTACATTTGTCAAGTAATTTGTGACTTTTAGTAAAGCATTTGGATGCTGAGCCAGAAAAAGAGCAGCACTTATTGTCAGAGATGCTATGACCATTGCCTTGTAGCTAGACAGGTACATAAGCTTGGATGGTGTTTGCTTGGCAGGACTTTTGACAGTTTGGCCGTGCTGCACTGTTTCCTGCTCCTCCTGGGTCAGGACCATGGGGCAGAGTTCAGCCAGTACTTCCAGAGCTGCTCGCTGACCAGCTTGTACTGCACCACTCATGTACCCACACCACTGGGTGGCTGTCTCTGTGCCTGCCCAATGAATCCTGTAAATCACAGAAAATCAATAAGCCACATACTAAACATTAAGCTTTATGTTGCTGCATTTGTTATATTCTCATTTGGAGTAATTATATCTACGGTCCTTACTGAATTGTTGAAATTGTATTCATCAACCACACTCTTTCTGATGACAAAATGCTTAAATTGTAACACAGAATACAGAAAAATCTAAAAAGGAAATTTGGAACATTTCATAGGGCCCTATAAATCCCTTTTTAGCACTTTTATATGTAGTGGCATTAACACTCATTTACATTATCAGTACAGAGTACACATGTGACTGTACTGTTGGCATATTCATCTCTCTGCGTGCCGACATTTGCAAGTACATGCTCAGCAGCCCTCTCCAGATAAAAGAGGAACCCTCTTTCGGGAAGGGATAAGTGCTAGTCAGAAAGTAGCAGTCTCTTCAAGCCCGTTATTCAGTAACTGTGGTGCAATGATGTTCTGGTACCCACGAAAACTAAAAGAGATGAATGATCTGCCCTCTTTGGATGCTAGTGAGTCTGCGTTCCTTAAGGCCGAACATGCACATACGGCAGGCGAATATGCATGGGGATAGCTGTGTGACTTCACTGTTTTTTTTATTTTATTTTTACTGATGGACAAATCTGGAATTTAAATGTATGTGTTTTCTTTTTACAGACTTGCCTCCTGAAAGGAGCTGTATCAACCAATAGCTCACTTGACTCTCAGTGGTAACCACTATGTTAAGTGTTAATACGCAGTACGTGTATGTTCAGAGAACCATAATCCCGGCCTTACTGAGGTGAGCTATTGGGACTATACTACCTACGTGTTTCGTTCACACCAACTGATTTTATCCTTTCACATCTATGTACCGCTAAGACACAAGACATTCCACTAATTCACCATTCAAAGGATATGGCACACATAACTGATTACTACTCATGTGTTTGCTAGCTCATCATGCTTGCTTCAAGGCTCCTCTACTGTACCAGCCCCCACCCCTGTGCACCACTTAGATGAATAGAGAGTGGCTCCCCCTTAGCACCTTTTATCTTGCCAGTATCCTCAGTGATTAATTCATGTTATCTGAACAGCAGAGTGAGAGGCCTCAGCATCAAACAAGCTTCCACTGGACTCCATATATACACTTCTCTGATGTTGTAAGGCAGGATATGACAATGAATTTGGCGAAGGGACGTTAATATTCAGCAAGGGTCCTAACAAGAAATTGACTACAAACACAGAGCAGAGTAAAGAGGAGTAAAAAGAAGATCAGTGTGTGCCAAAGCTGCAATGAGAAATGCACAGAAGCATTTTGATTGTTTGGCCCAGGCTTTTAGACGATGCCACTTGAAACTTCATCAGCAGAATATCCAAGACCTTGAGACTACAGACTGAAAGGCCTTTTGGCAACATGTCATCAAGCTTGCAGCTGGTAATGCACATTACCTTCCTATCCACTGAGAGGTCTGATAAAGACTGCATTTTAAGTGTTTGTTGAAGTTGCCTGATGTTACTAAGTATAGAGGCATTTACTGCAACACATGGTTAAACTCTTTTGTTTAAGTAGGATTTATTCTGCAGTGACTCAGCCAGTTCCAGAGTGCGATAACCCCAAAGATCACTGAGATGTTCTACTGTATATACAAATGAGAATGAAAAATGAAAGCAATGCATTCACCAAGTATGGTAATAAAAAATAAAACAGGCAGGAGTGGTGTATTAAGAAATCAGTCAACACAACCACTGCAGCGGCATGCATGGCAGGTGGCAGTAAACAGTATAATGAGCCTCAGTATTATGATGAGAAGAGGCAGAGCTTGTCAGATTAAAAAGGCCACCTTGTGGTCTTGATTGAACTTGATTGGTGTCTTGTTTAAATTGGTTATTATATGATAATAGTTAAGGGAAACTGATCAATGACAGCACCCACGACTTTATTGCTCTGTCAAAATGAACGCAATGCTTTATTTTTGTAAATTGTTGAGAAAAGTAAAGCATGTGATTATGGTGATCTACTATTTCAATTCCCCAACATGGATGATTCCAGAAATGCACAATTATGGGATTAATCCAGTCTCTAAATTTGGGAATAAAGATAAAAGAATCCCTCTGAGCTAGTGGGATATCGTTTTGACCTCTGCTGTATACAAACTGTTCTGCTGTTTTCAATTTAATCACATTTCCCAGTGGGCTGAGTCAGATACTATAACAGCAGATGAACAAAATGGATTTATAGAAGAAACTCGTCCGCCTTGTCACATTAAGCACAAATACAGACTCTAGGAAGAATAAAGCTCTCTTTCTATTCCATCAACGAGCCTGCATTTGATCACAATGACTAAAGCATTCTCTGACTAAACTGTGTTACTTGTTCTAAAATATAATTAAACACCTTTTGTCTGTATATGGAAAGATGAAGCGAAGCATAAACTGTCTGTCAGATTGAATTGCCCTATTTAAACAATCCATAGCGCATGCTCTTAAGTGGATGGTGCAAGTGCATTAACGGCATGTCCACGTGTTATCTTGGTCATTCAGATTAATACAAAAAACATGAATATCACACACCATTTAGTGTGATGTCATCACTGACCTGCATGGATAATAGTCAAGAGTGCACGCACGTTGTGAACCTGCTAGTGATGCGCGGATCAGCTCTGACATCATCCAAAATAAATCATCTGCAAATTATTTCAGATTCAGAGACCTAAATCTGCATGGACATTTGTCTTCACCGCTGCTGGCTCCTGTGGGCAGGGACGTGCACAGATATTTAGAGAGCAGGGGCTCAAGTGAAAAAAAGGGCACTTCTCATAATTATTATTTTTTCTAACACAACTCTGACTTCCTTACCAATTTATGTTAATTCCCTCAAAATCACGCAATTGTTTCATACATAAATTCAACAAAATAATCATGCGTTCTTTAGTATTCATGCTGGCGTGCACACACACACACACACACACACAATAACTGGTGGTGACAAGGACTTCATTTCACAACAACTATGGTATTAGACGAGGAGCCTACGATCAAAATTATGAAGTTACTGTTTAAGACAGGACACTTTTTTTGATGTAGTGGTCAATTTTGAGATTTTGGTCATATTTCCATGTCTTCTTTTACTCTAATGAAAATCTTTTTGCATCTGTAGATTTCTTCTAAATTAACCAAAAAAAGCTAATCTGCATATTTAAAAATAACATTTCAGGGGAAAAGACTCTTGATGTAAGTCATTAACTGGGGAAGTTCTGTGGGGATATGCTGTAGGTATTTATTTATTTAGTCTATTTACCTGAGGTGCCTTGTCAAATGTATGCAAATGAGCGAATTTTAATTTGTTTACACATAGTTTGCATATCAATGTAGCAATTGTGATGATGTTATTAGATACAAATTTTACTGTATTCACCTGTAGTGTCTCCATTAAGTTCAGTACATTAGCCTGTATGGCCAAGATATATTGCCTTAGCTAAATGTTAGCTTATTACATTAGCTAGTACCTCATAAGCCACACATGTTAGCAAGTCACAAGTTAATTATATTTGGCTTTTGGCTAATTAGGTACTGGTAGCTTAGTCTTTTGTTCATTACCACTCACATTCACACAAGCCAAGAAAAACACACCTGGGGTAGTTGGGAGGGGCGACTGCCTGTCTGTTTGTCTGAGAGAGAGAGAGAGAGAGAGAGAGAGAGAGAGGGAGGGCTGGCATTGGAACTGACAAAGTCTCCTGAAGTGATATTTAGATATGGTGATTTCTTTATTGTGTGTTTTATTGACGTATGATCCTTTTCTTTAAAGATTTACTTTAATGATTCGGGAGGCTGCTGTCAGTCATTTTAAACGTTTTCATGAGTGTAATGTCGCAGCAAATATTGTGGGACATTTAAGCTGCATATTAAGGACAGGACAGACTGAGGAAACTCTCCAGAGGAAACAGAATTAAAGCTTCTTAACACAGCTCTGATGGAGTTCAGGATTTATCAGTAGCTAAGGATTTACTGTATGAACCTGGACTGCGTTTGACTTTTTGGATAGAAGAACACAGAAGATCAGACCAGCTATGTTATGTGACGTTATCGACAGGCACAGGCCACCGAGCAGGTCTGACCACCCAAGCACATCTGGTACCTACACCGGCCTAGAGAGCAAGGACAGCAGCCCATTGGTTTATTTTCTATACTGACACTGGGCTGGCCCAATCACATCTCTTACAAACCCCTCTGCCATCTGTTCCCCTTCGAGGGAACTCGAACTGCGTCGGTGACGACGCTATGGGAACGCCTCTGGGCGTGACAGGGCTGAACTATGAATGAAACTACTCCAATCCACACATCACCCCGCCTGGAGTGCCTTGCTTCATAGAAAGGGCTAATGTGTCCTGTGTGTCGGCGTGCTTATATACCCCCTCCGGTTACGCCGTCACACACAACCTGTAGGGAGGGAGGATCATAGCTGTCATTTTGGGAACATGTCCTGGCCACCACTTTTTGAAAGGAAGTTTTCTAAAAAAAAATAGCAACAAGAAAAGTTAAAGAACAAATGCTTTGAGAAAGGTTTATTTGCACAATTAGAAAATATGCAATGGAGTGTAATTACAGAACAGATCTGCCTTTTTCCAAAAAACAGCAACTTATATTACGAAAACAAGCTACTGGTTACTGCATTATATTCTATTATATTTTTATATTCTGATTTGTCACCTGCCAGCGTTTCCCTCTATATAAATAAAGACATTTCCACCATAAATTAGAGCAGAATGATTTTAATGCATAAAATCTTCTGGGGGAGGACAGTGGCACCCCCAGAAAATGTTGCTAAGGGTGGCCAGATGGGGCCACTGAAAATCCTGGGGCGGCACACTAAAACCAAAAATCGTAACAGAATTTCAGGAATTCTATTTTGCAGGATATACTAGTTGAATACTACATAAAAATATGAGTTAAGGCATCTCAGACGGGTATACTTTATGTTACTAATTGTCTATTGTCCATAGACTAAAACCAGTTC